ACAGGTTTAACCAAGAGTTTGAGTTGCCCTACTTAGCGACGTAAGTTCAATCTCTTTATCAGTCAATAGCGACCCCATTTTCGATTAAACTATCAAAAATGAGCACTGTTATCATAATAACGTCATTCTGTTACTGATTAAACAGGTTAGATTTGCCAAGAGTAGAGAAGTGGACTAGGATCCCATCATCTAAATGACAAAACAAGCAATAGCAAGCAACTTTAAGCCATCATCTATAGTCTCGTCTGGCTAAATTCGCAAGACGAAAAGCTTGAAGAAAAAAACAATGCTGAATCGTTGCTGAAAGCGATCAAGATGTTCTGATATAAATTTCAGATTGTTTTGCTCTCACACAAACCAGTTAAACAGCTTTTAAGTGATCATAAATGCTCTTTCATCTCACCGGAAGTAATTTCGAAAAAAACATGTCAGAATGGACCAAAAGTGTTAATGTTTCTCTGACACGTGGCAGGAAGGCAGTCCTCGTGGAATCCATAAAAAATTGTTCTTAGAATGAAGCACGTATATAAAATACGTTTACGTTGAGAGCTTTTTGAAAAAATGGGTCCGGATAACGGAAAAGTACCCTTTTATCTGATTTTGGCGCATATAAAAGAATTACATTTGAAACTAAACGCATTGATTTCTTTCTATGTTTAGCCTTGTTTTAGCGGATATGTTTGGAACCCGCAATTCTTTGTCATCCCCCTTTGGCTCTGTCATGCATTCTGTTGTGAGTGCCATGCGCCACTATCATTTCTGGCATTCAATTTTTCTTGACAAACTTCTGCCTGCGAAGAAAAAGCGTAAAGGAGAAACAGAGGGGACTTCGGAACCAGTGTCGAGAGGACTACAGGAAAATGGATTCGAGCAAATCTGGGTCCCCGTTCTTATGTGAGAATGATGGAGGGACCATTGTCATTCCCCGTCTTCTGTTGGGCAGTGGCTCGGAAGAAATGAACATGTCGAAAAATTGATGCGGTAGGCAAATTACTTACACCCCAAATGTGAAAACAGAGCAAGTGTGAGGGCACAGCATGCTGCCCCCGCTAAGAAAACTGCCCCACACTTGGAAAACTTTGGTTTTTGCCATTTTCGCGCTCTCTAAGGCAGATTTCTGGAATCAGCTCCTCGGATTACCCTACCCAAGCAAAAAAAAATTAGGTTGAGGATTTGCCGAGCCACTGCCTTCAAGGCCGTGGTCAAGAAGTTGAGCTTCAAAGTTCGGCCCAGATCGTAGAGAAACCTTTCCACTGTACAAATGTGAACCAATCCTACACATGAAGGCTAATGTATTTATCGATTCTTATAGTACCAGAAGCCCACAGCACTTGCTGGTAAACAAACCGCTGTGCCTGTAATGCCGGCAATTTGCGCATGTGAAATGGCCGAGTGGGCATATTTTAGAGCTCTGCGGCTCCTGCAATTTGTTCGCGGCAAATGCCTGCACCGCAGGGGCTACACATATGCGAGCCTACAGTCGCGTCTCAGAATAGCAAACGCCTGCAATTTTTTGAGAAAACACATCTAAGCTAGCTTTTCAGCATTTGAAAGCTGCATCAGAGTGTGAATACTATTGAGAGAGGCATGCGAGTTCTGGCCATTTCCTTATAGGTCAACAAGTCATTATAGCTGGCGCCAAAAGCTTAGCAAAACCATTAACAAGACTTGAGGGTTATTAGTCCGGTGACCAGTCGCAAATCTAAACTTCTCCTAACTTCTCCTCCTGTTTAACGATTTTTTGATACGGTTATAATCGGTTGGTTGGCTCGTTGACATCCCTTAAATTATATCAATATTCGCCCAGCTTTAGAGCACCATATCAGCTTCAACACGAGCAAGCAGGAACCGCAGTGTTTTTTACCTCGGATTCTTCCTGCGCTCCTAATGCGATTAACTTTTTAAGATATTTTTCGCATTTTCTGCTTCTAACAAGGAAAGCATTTGCTGCTACATGTCTGATATGATCCTGAGATGCTTTTGTCGTATTCTGCTTTTAGCATTATGATTCATCATTTCTTATACTTCATTACCAACGTCTTTCGCTGTTCGGATCCCGGCTTTATTCAACCTACGATCGCTTATGGCGTAACGAACACTGTTCTCTATAATCGCTCAAAATTGCTCCGCTTCCTTTCCCTGGCAACCCGGTCGCTGAATATATCGGAGGCTCACCCTCCACTCCTCTTACAATTTGGCATTCGAGCTCTTGTCAGCGGTAATGCTATATTTTTCGAGTTTGTTGGATTTTCATGCTACGGCCTTGTACAGCTGACATCATCAAGCTTTCATTTTCTGTTTATCTCACTTTTTAGTTGTAAGGATGATCACTCTGTTACATTCGCTTTTCAATGTTTATCTTGTATTCTAAACTGGCAAGTCGATAATACTAGCCAAGTCCAACTTATGGCTACTATCTCGCCACTGCTTTTCTCTGCATTTTTTTTGTAGAGACTCGTACTCATCTTTGAATGCCTCCTCGTTCCACGCTATTCTATTGTATGCATAATTCTGAAAGCTACTTGTAGCAGACAGTAATCCAAAATGGACATTCTTCGGAGTGAGCTCGCAACATGTAATAAACGCCTTGTTCTACGAGATAATTTTACCTTGCTAACTATTGTCAAATCATCTGCGGTCCCTGCGAAGTCTGTAGCAAGCAATAGCTGCAAATAAATGCGTAGTTTTTAAATTTCGCGCTACCCAACTTCAAAACGGAGCTTGATCTAGTATGACCGTTTTCGGAATTACAGAAGAACTACTACCACCACCGTTGAGAGCTTGAGGTACTGAAACATATGGAGCTAAACCTGCTGATTGGCGAGGCGTTTGGATATAGCCTAGCAAGAATTTCACTTGGCCCTGCTGAAAGAGGTTGCCAAACGCTTGCAAGAGTGTCAGTACAATGACCAACGAGCATATTCTCAGCGTGCATCAAATCTGAGGAGAATCACGACAAGGGTTTTGTTAGAAGCAACTATGGAAGAGACTTCGACGCTAATTTACCTCATACTGGAAACTTTTTCAGAATCAAATGGTTTTCTTAAACAAGCATATAAGTGAAACTGTACAGAATTCTAATCTGATACATTTTGAGAATCAACAGGTATAAAATCTGACGATCTGATCTCCTTTGGTGGAAGTCCATGTATTCACTTCATATTCAAAGATCGCTGCTGGGGAGGCGAGAAAAGGGCTTAGGGATACCAGACAAGACCGCCCTCCGCGCGGATTCTGACGCGGTGACTTCGCTCCTCTTGCCTTCGTTTTGAGTCGGCAGCATCGTTACAGCAGGACACGGCAAGGCTAGCCTCCTCATTCCCCCCTCCCCCTCATGTCCTCTTCCTCTTGAAGAAGACAGATCCTCTACTTTCGGCTCATAAACCTCAAGGAAGTGCCAAAAATAAGAAAAACCGAAATAGGAGTCGGTATTTCGCGGACATTATAATAGATCTTCGATATACACAGATCAGAAAGACCTTTTCCAACGAGCACCGCAAGTTGAATCTATTAAAGCAATTTGATTATACTGAAATAGTTGTTTTGTGAAGCTTTCGATCTTTTATAGTCTCCATTGCGAGGGGGAAGATCGCACCTTCAATGCAGTTTTGCTATACGACTGACCGTGTGATGTCATAAATGACTGTGGAAAACAAACGTTATGATATAGTATTCTCAATTACTGACTTTTGTGCTTACTCAGGTGAAATGCGAGAAATAACTTGACATCAAAGTTTGTGAGCTGAATTTTCAGTATTTCTTATCTGTTGTCAGCTTTTGTTTTCTACTTTTTGGAAGGCTTGGCGAAGAACGAACATCGCTGCGGTAATAAGCTTGGCTTTGGTTACTACTCAGACAATCGCAAATGACTTCCGGGGAAAACTAAAGTTCCGGAAACTAAACTTCTAAAACTTCCGCGGGGACGCTCTTATTGGCCCGTGTGGGTGGGCTCCGCCCTACCTGGCCCGCTCTACCTGACAGCTCCAATAGGAGTGTCCAACTGGAAGTTTTAGAATTTTAGTTTCCCCCGGAAGTCATTTTCGACTGTTTGAGTATTGCTAGTTTCAGAGATAGTTTGTTGCAGACGCGGTCTTGTTTCCACTTTCGAGGGATATGTCAGTCGTCATAAAAGATCACCTGTGCGATGCAGATGGAGATTAATTCAGAAATAAATTTCTTTCTCAAATTTCGATCAATGTTTGAGCATTTCATAAAGCGAAATGTGCTCATTCCACAGACTAGTTCATTACGTTTATTAGTGATGTTGATTAAGGCGTCAAACTTCCTTTAGGCCTTTTCAGTTATTTAAGTTTCACTATTTATAACCCGACAATTTTACTTACGCTTAGCACATTACTTCAGGCAATTCAAAAGTAGCAAGTCATATGAAGTACATTATGTATTCGAAATGTTCTCATGTTTGAAGCATGCTACGTATAAAACTAGGAGTCGGATCTTGCTACCAGACGAGGATTGCTGCAAAAAGCCGGAAAGGGCGAGATTATGGAAAATCGCGACAGAAGTGAGAGTGCGGCTATTGTTTTGAACGACTTCAGTTACGGGCCTAATTAGCACACCGAATGCGATGATAGATGGCTATTCCATTCGACTTTCTCCTCTTATGAAGAGGACACAAAGCTCTACAAAAGAGTGCGTTATCGCCTTGCGACTGAGCGCAGAACGTGAGGGCGGGAATAAGAAATTTTATCGAAAAGAATCTTTCATTAAGACACCTTTCTTTCCGCTTTGACACTGCATGTCTTGCTGACCGATCCATTTAGGCGGGAGTACATTTTGCATTTTATTTGGAAAGATTCAAAGTTTTGATGTTTATTCCACAATGACGCCGAGGGTGTATCAACGCGCTCAAAGTTGACCCAGTTATCCAGATTATCCCTTTTAGTAGGTTTTGACTCGCCGTAACTATCGAAGTCGACATCTTGTCACCGATCCAACAATCGTTTTTTTCTCTTATGCACTCGACGCTGTAACAAATCGACAGGGTTGCTCTGGGTTTCCTTCGACGAGAGAACGCCCTCTGACCACGTAGAAGAGTGTGTGCCAAAACGATAATGCATCCAGAAGAAGAGATTGCCATGCGTGGTGAGTGAAAAATTATGATCTGTTCTCTTTACGTTTTTCATTCATCTCTCATATTAGTTTTTCTCAAAATTTTGTTCTGGCAGTCAAAACTTAACAATTTGATGGCTATTTTATGACGTTTATTTTGTAGAGGGCACTTTCAGAATTCTAACTGCTACAGTGATTTAATTCTTACGTAAAAAAATTGGTCGTAATAAAATACAAATATCTTTATATGAAAAGCCTTCCAAAAAGTGGCTTCATTCGCTTTCCGAAATTCGTTTTCTTGCTGTAATAAGTGCAGAACGATTCATCTGTTAGTCAGATACAAACAAGCTTTATCTACATGTTGAGCCAGCATGAACATTGTGATCTGTGTGTTATTTTGCGGTCAAAAAAGTGAGTTCCTCTTGACTTGCGCGGAGGTCGTCCTTTAGACACTCCAGAACGCTTGATTTTGACAGTCTATGGTCATGTAAATATTTAGCAATGAAAAACAAATATATGCGTGCTAATCCTACTTTAAAGTACAACTTCAGTTGAATCATACTTTTTTCGAAATTTGGTGAAGAATTTGGGATATCTCATGTTCGGCAGTACGTCGATTGCAATTTGCCTCCAAGAGAATAATTCTGCTCTGATGGGTTGACCTTTTGATTCTCCCTGAATTGGTCTTAGCACCACTACCATACCGTACGGAGATTTATCTACAATATTTCTACATTGACACATACGGCACAGATCAAATTTTGGTACGTAATATTTTTTGCTGGAAATTCACTCTAGAAAAAAATGTTCTTAAGGTGAATAATTTTAATAGAGTGCTTTACTAGCTTCTACGAAGCTATTACATTTAAACCAGTTTGCTTTGAGGAAATTGATTTTCAACTTTCTCCTGGTTCTTAGAAAAAGAACTGTTTGAAGTTGTCTAATTCACCACGATGCGATTCTAACTTTATCTTTTGGCGAACATTATAAACGTATGTACGTTGTACAGGCTTACATCTGCATGATTTGATCTCAGCCAAGTTTAGAAACGTAGGATGCGCGAAGTCAAAAGTGAATGTATGGATATTCACCTGAGTGTTTTGAAAAGAAGATTTCAGCAGAAAAAGTCGTCGGTAAATTTTCGTTTTCATTTCTTTATTCTGCAGTAATTCTTTCTTTGTTGCTCGGATCACATACCAGTGATCTCTGCGGACAAATTGCTTCAAATGCCGAAAAGGCAGCTGTTACTCATTGTAGTGAGAGAAATAATCTCCTAGACATGAAGAAGATAAAGTCAGTACCACCTGAATTAAATACACCATAGCTGTAATATTAACTCAGTAGAGATATACAAAATATATGCTCGTAGTGCCAATATACCGTACAAAACCGTTTATATGTATAAAATTGTAATGCTGTTTATATGTTGCCTACATTTTATTATGCATACTTTACAACTTATGCTTTCATATTCATTAGTTCACAAAAATTATTATATGTGCGTATATATATTTATTTGTGAAAAATTAACTTGACCTGACCATACCAAACAAGATTCTGCGCAAGTACGACTGCCACTTCTACAGAAGTTAGCGGATCTATTTAGGCAATTTTACTCATTGCTGACAATGGATGTATGTAATTGCCATACTCATCTCTCTTGTTTTCCAAATTGCTTCGCTTTCCTGATTACCTCTATTTTGCGCACAACACTCGCCTTGTAATCGTCACATCCTCAGTCAAAAATTCTTAGTCTGAAAACACGAGGTGACTCACTGATGCACGAATATGTGTTTCTGTAGGGGACAACGGCTTCTATTTCTTAACTTTCGACTGATATTTGAAGGCAAAAAGGCATATTTTTGTAAAGGTTATTACTAATGGATGTGAAACATTGAGAAACAACGGAAATTCACTTTTGAAATTCAGGAAGGCAAATAATTTGCGAGCTGAGGACCCTAAAGGCTTAGTCTATGAAAACAAAATCACCATGAAGTCATGTATACAAACTGAAAAAAAATCAATGTAATATCATTACCGATGCAGGTCACTTTCAACAGTTCCATGGTTAGACCTTTGTAGATAACTATGCCATAGAATGCCAAAACGTTGGACACAAAGTTATGAGTTGTCATAATAGTACAAGCATAAATGATCGCGGTAGTCTTCCCATGCCGCACGAGAACCGTGACGACACAAGCAACGTGTAGAATTTTTGCTTCACCTAAGCAGTGTCTCGAATAATCGAAGACAGTGCCCCGCAAAAATTTTGAGAAGCACCCCCAAAATTTTTTCGGAGTGCGTGGCTAACGCCACGCACCTTCATTTGAAGAAAATTTTTACTGCCCCTCCCCCCCCCCCCCCGGACGGAAATCCTGGGACCGCCACTGCCCAGCACTGATATCAGAGTGCTTTTATAGTTTTTGTTCTTCTTGAAGTAGCCATTAATAGAGTATTCTATATCAATATAATTAATCTTCGAAGGGATGGCGTTTCTTGAATCCCATTATGTTATCAAAGGCCACGTCGGACGAACACGCTATTAGCAGCTTTAGTCAAGCGATCGCAAAGAGGAGAGGGGGGGGGCGGACGAGCGGGGGACACGCGAAAGGTGAGAGCGCCAAATGCGAGCCAATATGAAATGTCTCTTGCTCAACAGGAACTTATGGCATCGAGTCGTGTATCTGCCCCCCCCCCCCTCCCTCAAAATGCGGGTTACGGTTGAAACGGCGTATTGATCGGTTGTCACTTACTAATAGAGGCAGAAAAGAATTTCAAATTCGTGCTGTATCTTTCGGATTTCAGCTACGTGATCCTTCACTAAATTTTCTAATATGTTGACAAAACTTTCGGAGTTTATAAATTTGCTTCAGTAGAGTTCGAACCCACACTAACGACGACTGCAGAAACGCGCGCCCTTCATATACTCCCAAATGCCGTCGTATCACTTTTCCGCACCAACAATGGCGAAATCCTGTGTAATAGCGGTGCTCCTAACCAAGTGATCGCCCAAGTCCCGCTGCAAAAGTTCCGGAGCGAGAAAATTGCTCAAGAAAAAAGAAACGACCAAGGTGGTGGCTCCGCCCTTTTGGTGAATGGTCTGAGCTGATGGTTTCACAAGTAGCTTCAGGGTAGATAGAGTCGAAAATCCAATAGTCATAGTGAAAGGCGGATTTATGACAATTCTAAATACACTGAAGCACAATCTTTTACTGGTCATCTTTGAACCACACACATTGATGGGCGGGGCCACTTCGGCCGCTTTACAAGCTGGGAGCGATTTTTCTTCGGAACTATCTTTTGCATCTTTTTCTTTAGTTAGGGAAAAACGCTGAAATACAGCATCAATTCTCACTACCCAATATGGGGGAAGGGTGTCTTTATTTGTAGATAATTTGCTGTTTGAATGACTTCCGCACAGTGTCAAATCTGGAGCTATGCCATCTAAGGTGGCATGTACGTTCTGTTGCGTCATTCAACTTGAAAAATCCGCTTGCTGTCTCAACTTTGCACAATTCTGTTTTCAATTATTCGCTTTGTAAAAGCAGTAAGTAAGCAGATAGTGCAGCAGAACTTTTCTCTTCAAATTCAAACTCTTCGTAGAAACACCCCATAAAGTTGTCTCAATAAAGTAGGTTATAATTTAATTGTTTGTGGATTGTTCCAAAAATTATTATGTTTTTTAATCATGGCGACCTAACGTGGAGAATCGAAAAAGATAACTCCCCTTTTTCGCTTTTTCGCTTCCAGCACACAACCTTTCTTCCAAAGGATGAATTATGATGCAAAACATGGGACAACAAAACGTTCCGGCCAACCTTGTAGCATTTGAAGCCAGCATAATAACAATAGCTTCATTTTCCTTTTGTGTGACACACACAGAAATTTGCAAAACGTGTAAAACCAAATTTATGGATGTTCATTCGCATGCGTTGCCATAACGCCCCTTCATTTTCCAGAGACAAATCATGAATAACAAATAACCTTCCCGTACATCCACAGCGTTCAAAAATTACCTAGTACTCGGTACAGCAGTTGAATCTTGTTGATTTATCGAAGAAGAATAATGATTTGATGAACTCGTCAGACAAAGCATACGGGTTCACCATATGGATGGTATTGCATTTCCATTTCACGATATAAGGCAAGTAGCTTATGTAAATTTATTCACCGCACAATCACTGAGCTGAAATGCACAGAACCAAAATGGTGTAACTTCGCTATTCTTTTACTCATCTCAAGGCAGCTAAGAGTTTTCGGAGTTGTTACAAATTCTTTTGAAGAAGAGTTGAGAGATGCGGTTGTAAGGAGAAATTGCACAATTGAACTTTCTGTTGATTGAACCGCGAAATGAAAGAACTTCAAGCAAATCTTCAACATTAGTTCTCGTATGAGGGTTAGTTCGGAATGAAGGCGGACGGTTTATTGTCGCGGAGCTACGCCATCTGGCAATATGCCAGATGTCTCTAAATTCAATACTGGCAGACCCCAAATGCGCAGCACGTATGACTTTCGTAGGTTGATGAAATCCCTTATCTTCCGTATTCAGAAATCCCTTACGATGAGTCATGAACAACTGGACTTTCGCCAAAACGCGTGAGGTATGCCCAGCGCCTAGCATGAGACCTCGGGCATACCTCACGCGATTTTAGTGGCGACGCGATTTGGCAATACTCCAGTCGTTTTGACTCATCGGAAGCGCAGTGTGGATGTGCAGAATTAGCGCAATTCATATGTACTTGCACTCTGCATGTGTTGCATTTGGAGACACTGGCAGATTGCCAAATCGCGCCGCGATTCAACGCGTGGAGTACGCCCGAGGCCCAACGTTGCGACCTCGCGATTTGAAGTATAGTTCCGATTGGGACAGACTGTATCTCAAATGCGTAGCCGCCTTCGTCCGTAACTAGACTACTGACACTACTGCTACTGACCTTGACAATGCATTCAGCATGACAGTCATGTATCTTACAGTGACTGTTAAAGAAAATCATGACTTCTTTCTGTGCCTGGACGGGAAGTGGAAATCATGAGAGACAGGTATGATCAGCAGTGGCGTCTTTCGGAGGGGAGGGGGGGGGGGGGGCGCACCCCCCCCCCCGAGAATGGGTCTCGAAATTTTTGAAATACACGAGTTATAAAAAAAGTGTGCAAAAGACTTATTTATACTTGTAACTGATTAAAATAATTTTTTGAATTTTTTAAAAATTCGATTTAGCTTTATAAAAAATTTTGCTGAGGCTACGCTCCTTTTCCTAAAATTTTGAGTTGTGGGCCCGCGAAAATTTTAAGAAGGGTATCAAAATTTTTTCCGGGTGCGTGGCTAACGCCACGCACTTCATCAGAAAAATTTTTTTGTCGCGCCCCCTCCCCCCCCCCCTCCCGAACGGAAATCCTGGATACGCCACTGATCATCAGATGTTTTCACTACAAAAACGACTAGGATTTCCGAAATAAGAACAATCATGAGATGGTTGGTAACGTCGGATGGGTTCTGGAGATAAGCACTTACGCAGTTACTGGCTCATCATCATTCAAGCACTTGCGAGGAGTCGTTGAAAAATACAGTAACAGCTGCGTAAACTTTATCTTCAAGAGTGCGCTGCTTCAACAAAATAAGTCTTGACGAAAGAAATCGATCAATTCCCTTGGTTTCATGCAAATCTAAGCTTCATACACCACGCACATGTGAAATGTATTCCGCTCGCTCCGTTTTCTTCAGTTCCTGATTTCAACCCTTCATCTAAACAGTTGATATAATTTCTTCTTCGGTAGCTGAATGCGTAATAGTGGCAGTATAGGGAGTAGTGCAAGTTTATGTTACATTTTTTCAAGCAGTAACGGCAAATTCATTCAGGGCTGCAGTCGTTTCTTCTGGCAAACAAAGAGGCCATACTATCTTTGCTTGAGGACATGGACAGGCCAGGAACTGAAAGAGAAGTATAACATTGAGAAATGCAAACGAATTTATTTTGGTGAACATTTACAGGATTCATTGTCACACCGGGAGCCACCGCCCAGAAAAGTCTGTTCCAGTTCGCATACATCACAAAGGTGCTGTCGTCTGAAAGCTTGTCTCGTCGGTGCATTTCGCGGCTCTAAGGGCCCGCATGCATTGACATCCCGCCGGAGAAGGAAATTCAGATTGAAAGAAAGCTACATATTCTGAAGGTCTAGACATTTGGATTTCTCGCTGTCATCCATTCGCAAGTGTAACTACCCATTACTATAGACGTATTGAACAGAAAAAAAAAGAAAAAGCTGTACATACAACCCTTCTTTTCCAGCTTTTTGTGTGATGGTCCGTTGATGATCCCCATTCAAAGTTAATGAAAACATTCCAAAGTAGTACTGATTATCTAATCCAGTAGTGCAGCATGTTGATAAGAACAAATAACGATAAGATTTTGATAACAACAATCGAAGTCACGAAAATTGCGATACAACGAGTCAAGTTGGGATTTATCGCGAATCGCAACGTTTTGATAACCCATTTGCTTAAATCAGAAACAGACTTAGCACTGTTTTATCATGATCAATACAACTTTGGAATGCCTTCATTGGTTTCGAAGAAAGAAAAATGACTTCCAAGAAATGACGATCCGCCGGGGATCACCAGTCATACAGAAAGCTGGAAAATGCAACTTGTGCAACGTCTCGCTTCCTTCCTGCATGTTCTGGAGGACGGTCAGGAGGTACGGTCGGCGCGAATTTTTCGCGAAGCGACGCCGCAACGTACTTCAGCCCTTACAACACTAGCGCTTCTGGCGCAGCCCTAGCTGTAGCATTAAGTCATGTATCTGCCCCCACACTCACCCCCTGTTTTGCAGCCGGGAATCTCTATTGGCGAAGAGCTTTGGAGGCCCCAAGACTTGAACGCGGCGTGTGCGGAAGAGCGGCCGCCGCGCGCGGCGTACCTCCTGACGTGCAGCCCATGTTCTCGGTAAAGGGTAGTATAGTCGTCCTCACCCCACTAGTCGGTCGGTGGACGAACTCGAATTCGAACTGGAGCAGGCAGGTCGCGGCAGAGCACGGCACCTTAGCTCTCCGTTCAAATTCACGCATTCACTTTGCGTATTTCTTCGCCATTGCTTAGCAGTTTTTGTATTGTTACAACGTTTTTGATCTATATTGAGTTTTTGTAATTGCTGAGCGTTGTCTCCTGCCACGCTCTGCCGTTACAGGCCTGCTTCAATCCAAATTTGAATTCGTCCACCGACCGACTAGTGGGGTGAGGGCGACTATAGAAACACTTGCAGATGAACAGCGAGAAATCCACATGTCCAAAGCTTCAGAATATGAAGCTTGCTTCTGTGCTGCGTTCTCCTCCGCGGCAGGGATAATGCATGAGCATTAATTGGTATCTGTGTCTGCTCCCATGTCCAAGTAAGTGACTTGTTCAGATCTTTCGTAACAAAAGAAGCCGGGCATGAAAGGAGGCCACATCGTGATTCCGCAGAAGTTGCTGAGACGCAACATGTTAGCAGTCATATAAGATCGACTACAGTTAAGCGATCGCGGTCGCGCAGCGACTCGCAAACACCGCCGCACTGTGTCAAACATCTTCGCCTCAGACGGCATCGAGAACGCAGGTATCCATTAAGAGCACAATTAAGCTAATTCTATAGAGCGGCCGATGGTAGAGATTGTTTGCTTCATGTTACAATGAACTGACGACCTTGCAGGAGTGAATGCGATCCGCGATACAATCGTTTTCATACTCAGAAATCCCATCTGTACGTCATTTTGAAAGAGGGGGTGTCACATATTAGAAAAAAAGCAATACAGACGATAAGAAATGTGGAACCTCGCAGAAATCTCATTCAAAGCAAACGCCTAACCGGTCTATAAGTCAAAAGCAAATCAATTCGGATCTGTTACAAAATGCCAAAATTTTCCAATCGGATAACCTTGCTATGGTAAAATATTTCGTGGCACTGGAGTTGCCTTGCTCTACGACGAACACGTGAGTGACGATTACAAGGTGCCCTATGAATTAGCTAGCTCCACGAACATGCTCAATAAAGCATCTGCTTTTGACTGTTGAAATCCTGCGGAAGACAAAAGCAATGATTGCCTTATTACTATGTCAATTTTTTCAAGCCGATCAAGATCGCGGTCTCGTGAGTCTACTAGCAGATTGGCAAAATATCGTGATGGGAGAGAGGATCCTCGCCCATGCAGGTTAGTGATTATTTTTCCAGCTCAATTCGCTTGGCGAATGCTCTTCCGTTTACTGTTAGAACAGGTGAACATGTTAAATTGGTTGCTATGCATCCTTAACAGTACCCTAAAATACCACAGATAAGGCCTCCCATCAGATAAGTCCGTCTACAGATAAGTCCGCCTTCACATAGGTCCGCTTTTTTGAGATTCCGTTGAGGCCCTTTAGATAAGTGTCCGCTTACAGATAAGTCCGTTTTCTTTCCATTATAACTACCCTGAAATCTTGTCAGATAAGTCCGAAAACTGTCAGATAAGTCCGGACTTATCTGTAGACGGACTTATCTGATGGGAGGACTTATTTGCAAAATTCTTGGCGGTGTGAGGGTGCATTTTCATCGATTTTTCTTGTCAAAAAAGCGGACTTATTTGTAAGGTATCGTTATCGTCTAATGTGAGATCCACAATCTTCGAAGAAATAGCGTAAGACTGGTCGGAACTTACAGGTGTCCCAACAATCTTGTAGCTCATTTTACTTCCCGATAAAGAAAAAACAGATAGAACAGCGCAGAGATACAAAATTTGGTGTATACATTACTTGATTCACAAGCTCAAATATAATACAATAGCTTTAAAATACTGAATAGCTCTTTTCTCATCAACGCGAGCTTCAGACAGTTGGAGATTGCCACTGCCGTGGCACGCAGGCAGTCGTAGTCATAGTCCCACTCCTTATGGAAATATCTTCGCTTAAATAGGGTAGATAGGAAGATTTCAGCTACAACACACCTTACCTTACAGGAATATTTTTTTCGCAGAATTTCACTGCTTGCTTGAGAAAATGAAGAAGGTGCGTCTTGTGCTCGTGATTAGAGGACAATGTTTCAAATATCTCCAGTTGCGGTATGAATTGTAAGCCTGAGATTTTAGATTATAGCTCTCAGAAAGTGACTGTTGGTTTTTGCAAACCAGTGCGTCACCTCTGCTTTGCAGAGATGACGCACTAAAATCATGACTTCGCAAAAAATTTAAATACTGACCCAGTTCTACGAGCATAAAGCTGCATGGATTATCTGACGCGCAATTTTTGTAGGGTCCACGCAACTGATCCCGCCCTTGAAAGTGGTGAACTTACATGGTGGGAGCATGCGTTGTGCAAAAAGTCGGCTCCAGACAGAGATTCATACACCCCCACAAACGTAAACAACCCTTAGCCGTTATCACAAGTTAAGGTACATATTAGGACTAATTTGAACTCGCAAATACATATTCTGTAGAGAATGATTGCAGCATTCTGTGGCATAAATTTGGAGTCAAAACTACTACTGATTTGTAAGTTACAGTACAGTTGGGACACCCTGTATATCCCTGCTAATCCATACTTTACAAGACACAAGTCTTAATAGGTATCCTATGGAATCTAGTTCCCCACTAACAAACTCTAAATGGAGAAATTAATAAATCGGCGTGTATTTCTGGAATCTGAGCTGGCTAATAACATCGCTAGAAATCCTATGCTCAGTTGCACATGTCTTTCAAAATTCCATTGTCTTCTTTTTGAGAAAGATACCTTCTAATCGCTTGCATTTTAGATGCATTGGGATATTTGGAATGAATACTGATACTTCGGAACGGGATTTAGAGAATATCTTTCAAGAGTTCGGCGAGATAGACTATGTACGTTAGCAAATTTCAAATAAAAGGTAACCTGTCAACTGATGGAATCTTCTAGATCAAAATTGTGCGCGACCATGTGACAGGAAGGAGCCGCGGCTTCGGTTTCGTCTACTATCTAAGGACTCGAGATGCCGCAGCGGTGAGACTCTGCTTTAGTTTTCTCAAACAAGAAGGTTTGTGGAATATTTCATATAGGCTAGAGAGGAGCTGAAGGATGCCCGGATTGATGGGATGCGCGTTAGAGTTGACTTCTCCGTGACAAGCAGTGCGCCCAGGTTCCAAGGAGTAACTAGGCACCAGAAGAGGTATTGTTTTTGAAATGTAAACAAAATTTTGTCAAGTTTTTCTATTTTAGGATGGCACTGTCACGACTCACTTAATATGAAGGTCTTCGGTCTTACTTCCGTCAGACTTACGGTACTCTTGGTTGACTCTTACACTCATCACTACTTACGCCATTTATAAATATGTTGCCAGTGGAGTTTCGTTGAGCATATTGATATGTAAAGTATAATAAGACCCACTTATGTGGTGTGTCTATTACATAACGAGGCTACTATGAAAGGTTTAAAATTGATAATTAATATGCGATAAACATGCCTTGGGAACTCACATGCATGGAGCAGTATATGAAAGCCCTGTTTTTCACATTTATTAGATATGGATCCCCTTGCTTGCTACATGCTTACATGTGCAAAAGCACCACTGACACCTCTGTCATGCAGAGTGCCACCTTTGCTCGGCGTACAATACCGCTCACATTTTTTAAAAAAGACGCGAATGTATGGACATGTCCATACATGTATGGACATGTACGGACATGTCCATACATGTATGGACATGCCCGTACATGTCCATACATGTCCATACATTCGCGTCTTTTTTAAAAAATGTGAGCGGTATTGTACGCCCGAAACTGCGTAACAAAGGTAAGAGGGCTCGCTTAAAATTTGGCCAGCGCTCGCTGAAAGAAATTATTTGACGACCGCTCGCAGAAAATTCTGAATTCCTGTCCGCTTGCGAAACATGCTACAGTAAGGAAGTACCGCTCGCTGAAAGTTTGGCCAAAATTCTGCTGACCGCCTACAAGAAGCGCGAGTTTGCGGTCTGCCTGCTCCCGGCGATTGTCTGAGCAGTTAATAGATAACAGTTCCTAGCAAGAACCAGCATAAAAACCACCGATACCAGCTGAAGACTGAGACTGAAGTTAAACTTGAACCTTACTTGAGATACTCAATCGATCAGGGACATGAAGTGACAACATTGCGAAGATTAGCACAAATAGGACACAACCTTGTTTGACTGCACATTTTGCTAATGTTTCTAAAGGTAAAGTAAGAAATCTTGGATATTGTGACTCAAGACGGCAAGTGTGACGGTCGAGGTGGTTCAACAGCGAAAAATTATGCCGAAGATTATAGTTAAAAAAAACCATAAAAATTGCGAGAAAAAAATTTTGGGATGACGTCTACTATAGCTGTCCTCATTTCCTCTTATTTGATCCCCCCCCCCCCCCCAGAGAATCGCCGGGGATAGGCGGCCACGGATTGCAGGCAAGCGGGCACCGGGAAAATAGTTCGCTGATTTCTTGCGGTCCGCTTGCAGGTATTCGGAAGAATGTTGGCCACTTTTCTGACGAACGCCTAGAGAACACTCGCTGATTTTTCATGGATTGATTGCGGCGCATTGGCCGCATTCTCGAGCAATTTCCGCGAGAATATGCAAAATTGTTGGGGGCTGCATGAAGGACCGTAAGCTCATAGGTACCTTCCACTGAGAGAAAGTATTCCAGACTCGGGTAATTAAACCCAACGATGGCATCTATTCAGAGAATCGCCGGGTAGGCAGCCATGTTAATTGTAGGCAAGCGTGCACCGGGAAAATTGTTCGCTGATTTCTTGCGGTCCGTTCGATCCTTGAAAAAATGTTGGTCACTTTTTAAACGAACGGACGGAGGGCATTCGCGGCTTTTTCATATAAATTGCGACGCAGAGGCCGCATTTTCGTGGACTTTCCGCGAGAATGTGCAAAATTGTTGAGGGCCGCACAGCCCAGGTAACTTCCGCTAAAAGAAAGTACCCCAAACCCGGGTAATTAACCCAACGATGACACTTCTGCCATAGAGTGTTACCTTTGCTCGGTGTACAATCTGCACCAACCCTAATCAGATCAAAATTGGCATGGCGGGAGCCCGCGTCACTAAGGTTTTGCGCCACGTCTAAGGTCTGCTTGTCTGCCTTCTCTTCAAACTCTTCGCTCTCTCCGACAGTGCGCATATGAGACGCGAACTCCTATTGCTGCGAGCGCTCAACTCGCTCCAACGGTCCGGCCTGATTCCGATTGGGGCAGGCTGTATGCCCGAAACTGCGTAAAAAGAGGCAGATTGCTCGCTGGAAATTTGACGACCGTTCGCAGAAAGTTTTGTGTTGCTGCTCGTTGGCAATACATGCGACAGTAAAAGTACCGCTCGTTGAAAGTTTGGCCACGCCCCAACATTCTGCTGACCGTCTGCAAGAAATCGCGAGTTTGCGGTCGGCCTGCCCCCAGCGATTATTTTGAGTATACCATAAAGAGTGTTACCTTTGCTCGGCGTATGCCCGAAACTGCGTAACAAGAGTCAGAGCGCTTGCTGGAAATTTGGCCGGCACTCGCCCAAAGAAATTATTTGACGACCGCTCGCAGAACATGCAACAGTAAAAAAATTAACGCTCGCTGAAGGTTTGGCCACGCCCCAAAATGTGGGCACCGTCCGCAGAAAGCGCGAGTTTGCGGTCTGCCTTCCCCCGGCGATTGTCTGAGCAGTATACTTGGGGAAATTCGAAATTTTTTTCGAATATTCGAATATCGAATATATTCGAAAATTGAAAATTTCGAATATTCGAATATCGAATAATATTCGAAAATCGAAGTTCTCGAATATTCGACTATCGAATATTATTCGAAAATTGAAAATTTCGAATATTCGACTTTCGAATATTATTCGAAAATCGGAAATTTCGAACATTCGACTATCGAATATTATTCGAAAATGAAAACTTCGAATCGAATAATATTCGAATATCGAATATCATTCGTTATTCGAATTTCGAATATTATTCGGTTCTCGAATGTTATTCGATTTCCGAATATCATTCGATTTTCGAATACTGACCGAGTAATTTACATCATTGAGACTGCCTATGAAAGGCCAAAACGCTAAGAATAAATTGTTTCATGTAAATAATAAGAATGGACACATTCTTATGGTACAATTTACGATGGAAAAACGGTTTAGTCGTGACGTGAAGAGAGAGACTTAGGAACCAAGCTACTCTTATGACGGTTGTGAAAAGATTTTTCGTACTTTAAAGAAGATTATATACCCTCACTGAGAGTTGCGATTGGGTATACAGCGGTAACATATGTAGATCTGTAGGCTGACATCAACTTAAAGTATGGGGCGATTTATCAATCGCTTTTCACTATTGTAAAATTACCGTAGGACTGAAGTGGGTTTCAAAACATCAAGAGCCATTTCCCTAAGAAAAAGAATCAAAAGGGCTGGAAGTCTTGCTTTAGATTTCTAAAGACACTCACTTTATGTAAAATTTGCACTCAACCGTAATGCTTTTTACAAAACCTACGCCAGGTATCCTGTGTGCCCCAGAAAAGTTTCCATGTGAATCAGCTGCGTACGTGGTGCGACGCTGCCTTTTGCCCTTTTTGACACGTTTCTCCTGAGATTTCAACGGAAATGCCCGAGGTTAACACGTTCAAAATAGCGAAAGGCAGCGACATGACGTGGTGATACCTATGGAAATTTTGCTGGGGAACAAACGATACACCGCAACAAGTGTTTTGCGACGCCTTTCAAAAATGTGATTGCCATTTAAAAAGCTTGAAAACTCGTGCGTAGTAAAATCAGCATAAGACCTTTTTGGGGACAATTTTTTGGATGTCTTATTTTGCAGTTGGTCTATAAGCTGGAGTTTCCTACTGTGATAACACACAATAAAAAAACATGGGTGATTCGCTTTCTGCTGTATTTATAAGATGAAGCCATCCCTATTGGATGTTACCCAGAAATTGGCAAAAGACTTTGAGAGGTATTAGCGATCAAACGGTGTGTAGATACTTTTAAGACACCCCGTATACGTTATGCATATCGAATTCTCGAATATTCGGTGCTTATCGAATTTTCGAATAGTCAATTCTTATCGAATTCTCGAATATTCGGCGCCTATTGAATTTTCGAATAGTCATTTCTTATCGAATTATCGAATATTCGGTGCTCGACGAATATTCGAATATTTGATGGACATCGAATGATCGAATGAATGAACTTCGAATATTCGACTATCGAATAATATTCGAAATTCAAGATTTTCGAATATTCGACTTTCGAATAATATTCGAAAATGAAGATTTTCGAATATTCGATTATCGAATATATTCGAAAACAAAAAATTTCGAATATTCGACTTTCGAATTTTATTCGAAATCTCAGATTTTCGAATATTCGACTTTTCGAATCATTCGCATTCGAATGATTTATTCGAATGATCGAATAATTATTCGATTCGGTCCCAAGTATACTGAGCAGTTAAGAGATAACAGTTCCTAGCAAGAACCAGCATAAAAACCACCGATAAAAGAAGCTGAACTTGAACCTTGCTTAAGATACTCAACCGATCAGGGACATGAAGTGACAACATTGCGAAGATTAGCACAAATAAGACACAACCTTTTGACTGCACATTTTGCTAATGTTTCTAAAGATAAAGTAAGAAATGCCTGCCTCCGGCTATTGTCTGAGCTATTCACTTATTTGTGTGATTGCCTTGAATCCATTCTGGAGGGGAGGAGGGAGGGGGAGGAGGAGAGACCGAACCTCCTCAAAAACACTGCCCGATGCGAAATGGGGAAATACCAAGCTGAAAATTGTTTGGATAGAAAGAAAAGGGGATGTCGTAAATATGCGCCTGTACATATCGTCGATTCGTTGGCCGTACGGACTGCTCAACCACTGCGGACCACGCGCGGCACGGTTAAAATGTCGCGAGAGCACGATTTCAACAATGGCGAGTTTGTATTGGAGCGAGCGTTTTACCTCGCGGCGCGTGCTCCGCGGTCATGTCCATTCCGTACCGTCAACGAATCGACGATACGCCCTCTCGACAATTTCCTACACGACTTATATGCTAGAACACGATCCCACTCGCGCGTCATCTTCAGAAATCGAAATTTTTCATTGAGTTGTAATGTGATGTCTCGGTTACAGTGCACACATAAGGATATGACTACGAATTTGGAGTACAACGGAGAAGGACTAGGAGGGGCATAGTGTAGAGTAGTGTGGAAAAATTATGTGACTAAAGGTTGTGGCAAGCTTCTGGAAATTTTCCACTATCACAAAATGATAAAATGACTCGTTTCCAACGCACGGATGACGATATGGCACGAAAGAAAGCGCTCCAATCGAACAACCTATGCAGCTGGCGGGAAATGAGCGTGAAATTGATGGTGGCAAAGGCGAAGTCTTT